ATATATTAGTATACAGGATTTTATATATTATTATTATTATACAGGATTTATATATTATTATTATTATACAGGATTTATGGCGCCAACAGTTTGCTCAGCGCTTTACAATATAACGGGAGACAATACAGCAATGATACAGTTCAATCCAAGAGGGATAGGAGGGCCCTATATACACGTTTTGGAATCAAAAATACGTTAAAACAGTACTGATGACATAAAATATAAGGCTTCGTGCACACAAGTGTCTGTAGGCATTAAATATTATTATTATTATTCAGGATTTATGTAGTACGAACATTTTGTGCAGCACTTCACAGCATGAAGGCAGACAGTACAGTTACAACACAATTCGATACAAGAGGAATCAGAGGGCCCTGCTCCTTGGAGCTTACAATCTAAAAGGGAAGTTAAAACCTCAGAGTTTTCCCATGCCTGGGGAGCCAGAGATGGGGCCATAGAACTGAATACGCCTTGCACTTACGCTGATGCTCCATTGCATCGACATTTACCTGCGCATGCGCGTACAACATATAAACCCTAAGGCTACATTCTCCTAGATTGTAAGCTCCAAGGAGCAGGGCCCTCGAACCCCTTGTGTATTGAATTGTATTGTTACTGTACTGTCTCGTGTATTGTCTCCCATTGTAATGAGCAAACTGTTGGTGCTGTATAAATATTGTATAATAATAACATTCACACGGCCGTAAAACGTTTACTGATACAAAAGTTGCTGCGTGAACGATAATTGCACTTAGATGTATTTTTAATGCGTAAAATTGTCTTGTTTTTTTCAATACCAGAATGCATACGCAGGTCCACAGACGCAGATTTATTTTGTACAGATCTGAATGCAGTGCCTGTTTACGCACCTGCGTGACTGTCTCCATTGAAAACAATACAGCTGCGCTCAGATCCGTATATAAAAAAATGCTTGTAAATGCATTTTTTTTCTTTTACAATGTATTTTATTATAGATAGTGCAGCATCAGAGAAACAGTCATAGGCAAGATTACTGACATAAAAGAATAAGACATGCAATTCTGATGAAGGACGCAATAAATGCACTGAGGTATTGACTGAGAAATAAACTACACAAGCACAATATATGAAGAAATGACCTAAGACATGATAATTTGCAAACAAGGTAGACAAGTAGAGACCAGTGAATTAGTAAACGAAGGCCAAAGACAATCACAAAATCCGCATACAGAAGGATGCATTTTTTTTAAATGGCTGTAAACCAAGCCTAATGTGGACGTGTCATGTTCAAAATGGTTAGCACTTCCGCCTGGCAGTACTAGGGTTGTTGGTTCGAATCCCCACCACGGCACCACCTGCCTGGAGTTTGCATGTTCTCCCTGTGCCTGCGTGGGTTTCCTCTGGGTACTCCGGTTTCCTCCCACACTCCAAAGACATGCTGGTAGGTGAATTGGCTCCTGTCTAAATTGTCCCTAGTATGTGTATGTATGAATGTGAGTTAGGGACCTTAGATTGTACGCCCCTTGAGGGTTAGGGACTGATGTGAATGTACAATATATGTAAAGCGCTGTGTAAAATTGACGGCGCTGTACCTGAAATAAAATAAATCTGCATTTACACAAGTACAGAGGCGTAGGGCCATTCACTTCTTTGACCTGCTCTAAGCCCCCCAGTTGTGGCTCCCCACAGAGATCCATATGAATGTACCCTGAAATAAGTAGGGGTTGCCTTACTAAAGAAAAGGAGACCCTTCAGTTTGCAAAACAAATGTTTACTGAGCTTAGTAAATAGGGTTGTGTTCCCATGAAATGTTCAAACATGTGCGGGGGGGGGGGGGAATACATTTTTTCTTGCATGTGAGTGGATGATTGAAATGAATGTTTTATCTCATTCACTGAACATTCACTTTGCCAAATGAAATACGCGGTAAGAAAATCGACCGATCGGTCATCCGATGACCAATCGGCGTTCGTTCGTTGGTCCTAATTGTGGCCCACATTAACCAATGGAAAAAATTTGTTCATCGAGCAACACATACTGTTGACGTCTTCTGTACAAGTGGAAGTGATGCAGTGTGCTTGTGACCTTGCAGCCACGCCCTGCCGCCCAGAACGAGCAATTGGACATAAATCCTTGGAATTAATTGGATTAAATTGGATTTATGGATCCTTGGACATTTGGACAAAATTGGAATAAATTGGATTTATGGATCCTTGGACATAAACATCCGGGTCATCTTCTGTTTCCACTCATGCGCATGATAGATTTTTTTCCGGACGACTGTCATACCACTGCATAGAAAATCAGACATTCGCCTGCGAAACGACAACATTTTTCACTGCTGTTCAACTGGATTTTTTCATTCCCAATATCGTTATCGGTTATAACATCCTGCTCATCAACGAAGAGAAAATCGATCGATCATATGATCAACTAAATTTTTCGTACGATTTTCTTACCGTGTATCCTGCCGTATATGAACATTCTCTACTCCTTTACTGAATCAACCCTCTTTAGGCATTTAGGCTCCGCTCTACGGCCGCTGTGTGCTTCTCCTACCCCAATCTTGTGTCTGTCAAATGATGTACAAAGACGGCCACAGGGCAGAAGGGTAAAAGGGGACCACATAGGGATCTGTAGTCCTGTATGTTGTGACAGATCATTGATAGGTGCAAGACCCCAAGCAGCCCCCAAAAAAACAAGGCTTTGAAGACTTAACCATCTTCGGCTCCTTTCCTGACCCTTCATCGGTCATCTAAGTAACGTAGAAGGAAAATGCAGACCGATGGGTTGTATATCAGATGTCCGTTTCATCCAGGATGTTGTGAAAGGTCATTGATAGGTGCAAGGCCCCTAGTAGCCCCCCAAAAACAAGGCTTTGAAGACTTAACCGTCTTCGGCTCCCTTCCTGACCAGGGGAGGACTGACCATTCGAGCACTCTGGCCCTGCCCTAGGGCCCGGGGTCAGTAAGGGGCTCCATGAAATGCCCCTGGTACCTTTTATAGGCTTTTTTGGGTGTGCTTTGAGTGTAGGCAAGGACACAGGGGCCCCATGATCCCCTATTGCCTAGGGGCCCCATGAGTTGTCAGTCCGCCCCTGTTTCTGACCCTTCATCAGTCATCTAAGTAACGTAGAAGGAAAATGCAGACTGATGGGTTGTATATCAGATGTCTGTTTCATACAGGATGTAGTGACAGATCATTGATAGGTGCAAGACCCCAAGCAGCCCCCAAAAAAACAAGGCTTTGAAGACTTAACCATCTTCGGCTCCTTTCCTGACCCTTCATCGGTCATCTAAGTAACGTAGAAGGAAAATGCAGACTGATGGGTTGTTTATCAGATGTCCGTTTCATCCAGGATGTTGTGAAAGGTCATTGATAGGTGCAAGACCCCAAGTAGCCCCCCAAAAAAAAGGCTTTGAAGACTTAACCGTCTTCGGCTCCCTTCCTGACCAGGGGCGAACTGACCATTCGAGCACTCTGGCACTTCCCTAGGGCCCGGGGTCAGTAGGGGACCCCATGAAATGCCCCTGGTACCTTTTATAGGCTTTTTTTGGGTGTGCTTTGAGTGTAGGCAAGGACACAGGGGCCCCATGATCCCCTATTGCCTGGGTGCCCCATGAGTTGTCAGTCCACCCCTGTTCCTGACCCTTCATCGGTCATCTAAGTAACGTAGAAGGAAAATGCAGACCGATGGGTTGTTTATCAGATGTCCGTTTCATCCAGGATGTTGTGACAGGTCATTGATAGGTGCAAGACCCCAAGTAGCTCCCCAAAAACAAGGCTTTAAAGACTTAACCGTCTTCGGCTCCATTCCTGACCAGGGGCGGACTGACCATTCGAGCACTCGGGCACTGCCCAAGGGCCTGGGGTCAGTAGGGGGGCCTCATGAAATGCCCCTGGTACCTTTTATAGGCTTTTTTGGCTGTGCTTTGAGTGTAGGCAAGGACACAGGGGCCCCATGATCCCCTATTGCCTAGGGCCCCATGAGTTGTCAGTCCGCCCCTGTTCCTGACCCTTCATCAGTCATCTAAGTAACGTAGAAGGAAAATGCAGACCGATGAGTTGTATATCAGATGTCCGTTTCATCCAGGATGTTGTGACAGGTCATTGATAGGTGCAAGACCCCAAATAGCCCCCCCAAAACTTTGAAGACTTAACCGTCTTCGGCTCCCTTCCTGACCAGGGGCAGTCCGCCCATTTGAGCGCTCGGGCACTGCCCAAGGGCCCGGGGTCAGTAGGGGGCCCCACGAAATGCCCCTGGTACCTTTTATAGGCTTTTTTGGATGTGCTTTGAGTGTAGGCAAGGACACAGGGGCCCCATGATCCCCTATTACCTGGGGGCCCCATGAGTTGTCAGTCCGCCCCAGTTTCTGACCCTTCTAAGTAACGTAGAAGGAAAATGCAGACCGATGGGTTGTTTATCAGACGTCCGTTTCATCCAGGCGGCGTGTGTGCAGCAAATATATTTACGTATCGAGAACAATAGCCCTCTATGTCGTCCTTTTCTGCCATTCTGCTTTTTCCTTGCTTGCTAACAAAAATGTGATGTGACCGTCTTGCCCGGCTGTTCGATAAAACACGGAGCAGTGCACGTAACTAAAAGCAACGGTTCTCAGCCATCTGGTATATTCCAGCCCCATGTGCACACAGCAGACGCGAGCGGATCGATTTGCAAGTTGGGTATACCAGGGTAATTGTACCTTTTGTCAAAATAAAAAAAGTAACCGAGGATAAGAGCTTTAATGGCCAACTGTGGTGGAAACTTAAGCAAGCTTTCAGCACGCAGACCTCAAGTTTTTTTTTCTTTTGTTTTTTTTTTGTAGGCCCATCACAGATTTTTGACTAGCCCAGAAATGTGCAGGCAGGCTTGTCTACTTTGTAGTCAAAGGATTGGGGGGCATGCAGTTCAAGAAGCTAGCCTATCATAATTAATGATTGTTTACAGAGGGGGCAATTTTGAAGGCTTTTTAGAGATGAAAATTAAAATTTTTATTTTAGTTCACCCAGTTTGCAAATCGATTCTATAATCTCTGCTTGCCTGTTAATGCAGCTGATGTATTGAAGGAGAGGAAATGTTTTATGTTTTGGAAGCAAGGGAGGACGGAGCATTCCATGTGATCATTGATTGGCCAATCAGTGATCACATGATCGGGACCTCACACAGAGGTCCCATACAGCGTTCGGTGTACTCTGGACCAGGGGCGGACTGAGCATTCGAGCACTCGGGCACTGCCCGAGGGCCCGGGGTCAGTAGGGGGCCCCATGAGATGCCCCTGGTACCTTTTTCATAGGCTTTTTTGAGTGTGGGCAAGGACACAGGGGCCCCATGATCCCCTATTGCCCGGGGGCCCCATGAGTTGTCAGTCCGCCCCTGTTTGGAAGTTAATGCACACACGGCTTAGTGAATTAGATGAAGTTGCATCTACTCTGTCATTGTACAAGGAGAAAAACAAAATCCAACTGCCCTGGCATATAGATGGGTATTTCTATCTATCCATTCAGTCGTATCTGACCCTTGGCGATTGCATGGACCGTCACTCATAAGCAGGGACGGACTGAAAACTCATGGGGCCCCCGGGCAATAGGGGATCATGGGGCCCCTGTGTACTTACCCAAACTCAAAAAAGTATATGAAAAAAGGTACCAGGGGCATCTCATGGGGCCCCTTACTGACCCCGGGCCCTCGGACATCGCCCGAGTTTCAAATGGTCAGTCCGCCCCTGCTCGTAAGTGACTTTTTCCATGAATTCTCTTAGCAATTATTTTTACAGGGTAGGTTAGATGGGTATTTAAAGTGTATATAGGTCAGCCTTTCTCAACCAGGGTTATGTGTAACCAGGGGCGGACTGACCATTTGGAAACTCTGGCACTGCCCGAGAGCCCAGGGTCAGTAGGGGCCCCCATGAGATGCCCCTGGTACCTTTTTCATAGGCTTTTTTGAGTTTGGACAAGGACACAGGGGCCCCATGAACCCCTATTGCCCGGGGGCCCCATGAGTTGTCAGTCTGCCCCTGTGTGGAACCTTCCTCCAGATGTTGCTAGGGGTTCCTTGAGAAGACACCAGTGCTAGGTTGATCTTTTGATTACACCAACCATCATTGATGTATGGAGTGACTTCTACAATGACCATCAATATAAATGGTCACTTCTTCTCTGTCCCCTAATATTAGGTAAAGCGAAACAAAAAGAAAGCGCACCAACCTTGCTCATTACCTCAATAAAATGTGATTTTATTGAATTTCAAAATATACTCACAAACAGAGAAGTAAAACAAGCGTGTAAAGTCCTTGAGAGACTTAACCACTTCCCGTCCGGCCGCTGTATATAAACAGCCGGACGGTGGCAGTACAGGGGCGGATTGCCGTTCATAAACAGTGCCCGTCGTTTTGGATTGTGCGTGCTCCCTGGGAGCGCGCGGCATCGCGATCCGGTGCCTGCTGTGTCCAGAGCAGGGGCGGACTGACAACTCACGGGGCCCCCCGGGCAATAGGGGATCATGGGGCCCCTGTGTCCTCGCCTGCACCCAAAAAAAGCCTATGAAAAAAGCCAATGTAAGATACCAGGGGCATCTGATGGGACCCCCTACTGACCCCGGGTCCTCAGGCACTGCCCGAGTGCTCGAATGGTCAGTCCGCCCCTGGTCCAGAGTACACCGAACACTGATCATGTGCTCACTGATTGGCCAATCAATGATCACATGAATAGTAGTAAGCAAGATGTCACTTCTGACATCATTGCTTACTACTAGTGAAATCTGTGAATGATCACAGAGATCACATGGTACAAGGCTATTCACAACAGCCTTGTACCATGTGACAAGCTGTGACCAATCACAGCTCTCACAGTATTTCTCAATGGCTGCAAGAATGCAGCCAGAAAGAAGGAGAAATGATTGCTTTTACAGCCTTTATCGGTGTAAAAGCAATCAGTGTAAAAAGGAAAAAAAAATCATCACCCCCCACAAAGTAGTACAGTGTCACTATGGTTACACTGTACTGCTAGGGTGACAGTATTTAAAAAAAAATAATAATAATAATATAAAATAAAAACGTAAAACATTTTCTATAAAAAAATTATAATTTTTGGGTATAAACTAATTTGGGTTATTTTTTTACTAAAAAGATAATACATTTTGGCCAAGATTTATGAAGAAAGATTATTTATTTGCAAAATTGTATAAGAAAAACACTTTTGTTTCAAAATGTTTGGACGTTTTCATTTATATAGCAAAAAAAAATAAAAATCCCAGCGGTGAATAAATACCACCAAAATAAAGTTTTATCTGTCTCAAAAAATTCATATTGGTACAGTGTTGCATGACCGCGCAATTGTCATTCAAAGTGCGACAGCGCTGAAAGCTGAAAATTGGCCTGGACAGGAAGGGGGGTAAAAGTGTCCGGACATGAAGTGGTTAAACAGTCTGAGACCAGCGCGAGTCTTATGAAGTAGGGACTCCCTTCGAAACGCGTCAGCCTGACTCTGAGAGTCTTGCCTCGTGTTAAGACTCATGCTGGTCTCAGACTCCTTGAGTCTCGCTAAGGACTTTACACCCTTGTTATACTTCTCTGTAAGTATATTTTCAAATTCAATAAAATCACATTTTACTGAGGTAATGCGCAAGGTTGGTGCGTTTTCTTTTTGTTTCGCTTTACGGTAGTGGTCGGGCTTGTTTAGAGCCGAACAACCTTTGATGCTTTGGTGGTGAATTTCTTCAAGTTCCATGTCCATCTATCCACCCTTATTCTGGGTCACAGAGCGCAGGAGGTGTTGTTTTTTTTGTTTCCCCTAACATTAGGGATCACTTCTATACTGTCCACCAATGTAATGGGTCACTTCTACACTTCTATGCTGACCACCAATGTAATGGGTCACTTCTACACTTCTATGCTGACCACCAATGTAATGGGTCACTTCTACACTTCTATGCTGACCACCAATGTAATGGGTCACTTCTACACTTCTATGCTGACCACCAATGTAATGGGTCACTTCTACACTTCTATGCTGACCACCAATGTAATGGGTCACTTCTACACTTCTATGCTGACCACCAATGTAATGGGTCACTTCTACACTTCTATACTGTCCACCAATGTAATGGGTCACTTCTACACTTCTATGCTGACCACCAATGTAATGGGTCACTTCTATACTTCTATGCTGACCACCAATGTAATGGGTCACTTCTACACTTCTATGCTGACCACCAATGTAATGGGTCACTTCTACACTTCTATGCTGACCACCAATGTAATGGGTCACTTCTACACTTCTATGCTGACCACCAATGTAATGGGTCACTTCTACACTTCTATGCTGACCACCAATGTAATGGGTCACTTCTATACTTCTATGCTGACCACCAATGTAATGGGTCACTTCTACACTTCTATGCTGACCACCAATGTAATGGGTCACTTCTACACTTCTATGCTGACCACCAATGTAATGGGTCACTTCTACACTTCTATGCTGACCACCAATGTAATGGGTCACTTCTACACTTCTATACTGACCACCAATGTAATGGGTCACTTCTACACTTCTATGCTGACCACCAATGTAATGGGTCACTTCTACACTTCTATGCTGACCACCAATGTAATGGGTCACTTCTATACTTCTATGCTGACCACCAATGTAATGGGTCACTTCTATACTTCTATGCTGACCACCAATGTAATGGGTCACTTCTATACTTCTATGCTGACCACCAATGTAATGGGTCACTTCTACACTTCTATGCTGACCACCAATGTAATGGGTCACTTCTACACTTCTATACTGTCCACCAATGTAATGGGTCACTTCTACACTTCTATACTGTCCACCAATGTAATGGGTCACTTCTACACTTCTATGCTGACCACCAATGTAATGGGTCACTTCTATACTTCTATGCTGACCACCAATGTAATGGGTCACTTCTATACTTCTATGCTGACCACCAATGTAATGGGTCACTTCTACACTTCTATGCTGACCACCAATGTAATGGGTCACTTCTACACTTCTATGCTGACCACCAATGTAATGGGTCACTTCTACACTTCTATGCTGACCACCAATGTAATGGGTCACTTCTATACTTCTATGCTGACCAGCAATGCAAGGGGTTACGTCTACACCAGGCATGTCAAACTGGCGGCCCCTCCAGCTGTTGCGAAACTACAAGTCCCATCATGCCTCTGCCTTTGGGAGTCATGCTTGTAACTGTCAATCTTGCAATGCCTCATGGGACTTGTAGTTTGGCAACAGCTGGAGGTCCGCCAGTTTGACACCTGTGGTCTACACTCTGCACACTGTCCACCAATGTAATGGGTCACTTCTACACTGATCACCAGTGGAAGCAGTCACTTGTTCACTGACCACCAACGTAGAAGTTCACCTCTATACTGATCACCAAATTAAGTTTTTTATTCCAAATTTGCTGCCATTCTTGGCAAATATTTAAAGGGAGAAGTGAAGGGCAACATGTTAAGAAGCCATTAGATATTTTATTTTTTTTTTACGTTTAAATAATTATCCTATTTTGTACATTCGCTAACTTTGACTTTTGTTTAAAAGGTAGCTAAACCCAACTGCTGTTCTATTTTCTCACGTGAGTGATGGCTTCCATGTTTTTTCACCACCAGAAATACGCAAACAATCAATTCGCTGGCTAATCTGTAAAAAATTAACCCATAAATGCGACATACTTTGTCCATGACGCACACAGTCACTAGTTATACCAACTGTTTTTGTTTCTGTGACATCATCGACAGGTGGGGCTCACAACCCGGCTTAGAGCTCGGGTTATTAAAGGAAATTGTTGAATGCCATTAAAAACATCACAGTTTTTTTTCTTTTCTTTTTTTTTTTTTAATTCGTTTAGCAAATTAAAAGTCTGTGGTGTAGTTATTGCAAAAAGAAAAAAAAAAGAATCTGCAAGGTTTTTTTTTTTTTTTAATTATTGACCATATTGCTAAAAATAAGATTGTGTTTTTCTATTTTATTATTATTTTGGTTCTTTTTTGATTGTTTTATTTTGTTTTTTGGGGTTTTTTTTTTTACTTTTTCTTTAACTTTGTAGTACTAGACCAGCAATGGGCAAACTACGGCCCGCGGGCCGTATACGGCCCGGCGGACCTTTTAATCCGGCCCGCGGAGCGTGGCAAACATTGGCTGTCAGGATATAGGCGGGGCAGCGTGAGGAACTCCTCTCCTCTCACAGTCCGCCCTGAAGACCGGAACGGCGCGGGAACACGGCGAGAGGAACGCGCGGAGCAAAGGTAAGTGAATTGACACAATATGGGGAATGAATTACTATATGGGGGATGAATTACTATAGGGGGGATGAATTACTATGGGGGATGAATTACTATGGGGGATGAATTACTATGGGGGATGAATTACTATAGGGGGGATGAATTACTATGGGGGATGAATTACTATGGGGGATGAATTTACTATATGGGGGATGAATTACTATGGGGGATGAATTACTATGGGGGATGAATTACTATATGGGGGATGAATTACTATAGGGGGGATGAATTACTATGGGGGATGAATTACTATGGGGGATGAATTACTATATGGGGGATGAATTACTATAGGGGGGATGAATTACTATAGGGGGGATGAATTACTATATGGGGGATGAATTACTATATGGGGGATGAATTACTATGGGGGATGAATTACTATATGGGGGATGAATTACTATATGGGGGATGAATTACTATGGGGGATGAATTACTATGGGGGATGAATTACTATATGGGGGATGAATTACTATGGGGGATGAATTACTATATGGGGGATGAATTACTATATGGGGGATGAATTACTATGGGGGATGAATTACTATGGGGGATGAATTACTATATGGGGGATGAATTACTATAGGGGGGATGAATTACTATATGGGGGATGAATTACTATGGGGGATGAATTACTATATGGGGGATGAATTACTATGGGGGATGAATTACTATATGGGGGATGAATTACTATGGGGAATGAATTACTATGGGGGATGAATTACTATATGGGGGGATTAATTACTATATGGGGGATGAATTACTATATGGGGGATGAATTACTATGGGGGATGAATTACTATGGGGGATGAATTACTATGGGGGATGAATTACTATATGGGGGATGAATTACTACGGGGGATGAATTACTATGGGGGATGAATTACTATATGGGGGATGAATTACTATAGGGGGGATGAATTACTATATGGGGGATGAATTACTATGGGGGATGAATTACTATATGGGGGATGAATTACTATGGGGAATGAATTACTATGGGGGATGAATTACTATATGGGGGATTAATTACTATGCTTACTATGGGGGATGAATTACTATATGGGGGAATATTACTATACTTACTATGGATGGCATGGTAGTGGCTGGGCTGGCCAGCAGCTAGTCCGGCCCCCGGGTCCAATATATATGAACCCATTGCGGCCCTCAAGTCAAAAAGTTTGCCCACCCCTGTACTAGACTCTACCACTGTTTTTACCTCTATGGGTTCTAACATAATTTTGTATTATGTGAACAGTTGGCCTTCTTAAAGGGTAACACCACTTTCAAGGGAATAAAAAATAGCAAATAAAAAAATAATTATTATTTTGGTTCTTTTTTGATTGTTTGGGGTTTTTTGTTTTTTGGGGTTTTTTTTTAGTTTTTCTTTGACTTTGTAGTACTAGTCTCTACCACTGTTTTTACCTCTATGGGTTCTACCACAATTTTGTATTATGTGAACAGTTGGCCTTCTTAAAGGGTAACACCACTTTCATGGGAATAAAAAATAGCAAATAAAAAAATAATAGCACAGCATATAGAATAATAGCACAGCACAGCATATCGAAAGTTAATTAAAACTTACCTTTCCTTTTCAACCTGCAGAGCTGTAATTTTCTGTAAAGTGCAATGCACTTTAACTTCCTGGAGGCATTCTATACACAGATGGTGTACAGAACACCCCCTTAAAATGCAATTTCCTGCTTGTGTGTGTGGCTCAATGATTTTCCCAGAAGTCTGATAAAGTTAGATTTTTGGCATCCCCCGCAACAAAACTGTCATTTTTGGTACTCTCCAAGGGAAATCTCATCTAAAGGGATGCAGACCCTGCCACTTTCCTCATTAGAGCCCTGCAGGTGCAGCAGCTGAGTGATAATTAAAAAAACACTCCCATACAGATCCACTCTGCAAATGGACACAGGCAACCAAATGGCTATTTTTTCAGAATAACAAAAGGTAGGAATCTTTAAAAAAAAGTTTGTTAACATCCTTTGCAATATACATAGATCACCCAGAGGGGAATGTTTTTTTTTTTTTTCAACATAAGTGGAGTAGCTCTTTAAAGTGTTACTAGACCCAGGACTGACAACTCATGGGGCCCCCGGGCAATAGGGGATCATGGGGCCCCTGTGTCCTTGCCCAAACTCAAAAAAAAGCCTATGAAAAAGGTACCAGGGGCATCTCATGGGGCCCCCTACTGACCCCGGGCCCTCGGGCAGTGCCTGAGTTTCCAAATGGTCAGTCTGCCCGGTGCGCACTGAAACAATTGGACATCTCAGGGCGCATTCACACAAGCATATGCGTATTTTCTGCATGGAAAGCAGGTTCTTGTAGGCAGAGTTAGTGCAAGATCCTGCATAAAATACGCCGCTAAAGTACTCGTATTTTGGTGCATTAACAACATTAAAATGTGTCCAATTCTGTCGTTCCAATGAATGACTGCACATGTGCGCATTTATGAATGTAGACACATCTGTGTGTATGGGCTCATTGATTACTAAAGGGCTATAGATAGCTGTGCACAAAACTATACACTATATATGTCTAAATGAGACCGGATATAGTAAATACAGGGTCCTGGGAGACAATATATAGTGAATGCAGGGTCCGGGGAGACAAGATATAGTGAATGCAGGGTCCAGGAAAAGCAGATATAGTGAATGCAGGATCCAGGGAGACTAGATACAGTGAAAGCAGGGTCCGGGGAGACCAGTTATAGTGAATGCAGGGTCTGGGGAGAGCAGTTATAGTGAATGCAGGGTCCAGGGAGACCAGATATAGTAAATGAAGGGTCCGGGGAGACCAGGTATAGTGAATGCAGGGTCCGGGGAGACCAGATATAGTGAATGCAGAGTCTGGGGAGACCAGATATAGTGAATGCAGGGTCCGGGGAGACTAGATATAGTGAATGCAGGGTCCGGGGAGACCAGATATAGTGAATGCAGGGTTCGGGGGGACCAGATATAGTGAATGCAGAGTCCAAGGAGACCAGATATAGTGAATTCAGGGTCTGGGAGACAATATATAGTGAATGCAGGGTCCTGGGAGACAAGATATAGTGAATGCAGGGTCCGGGGAGACAAGATATAGTGAATGCAGGGTCCAGGAAAAGCAGATATAGTGAATGCAGGATCCAGGGAGACCAGATACAGTGAAAGCAGGGTCCGGGGAGACCAGTTATAGTGAATGCAGGGTCTGGGGAGAGCAGTTATAGTGAATGCAGGGTCCAGGGAGACCAGATATAGTAAATGAAGGGTCCGGGGAGACCAGATATAGTAAATGAAGGGTCCGGGGAGACCAGGTATAGTGAATGCAGGGTCCGGGGAGACCAGATATAGTGAATGCAGGGTCCGGGGAGACTAGATATAGTGAATGCAGGGTCCGGGGAGACCAGATATAGTGAATGCAGGGTTCGGGGGGACCAGATATAGTGAATGCAGAGTCCAAGGAGACCAGATATAGTGAATTCAGGGTCTGGGAGACCAGATATAGTGAATGCAGGGTCCGGGGAGACCAGATATAGTGAATGCAGGGTTCGGGGAGAGCGGATATAGTGAATGCAGGGTCCGGGGAGACCAGATATAGTGAATGCAGAGTTTGGGGGGACCAGATATAGTGAATGCGGGGTCTGGGGAGACCAGATATATTGAATGCAGGGTCTGGGGAGATCAGATATAGTGAATGCAGGGTCCGGGGGAGACCAGATATAGTGAATGTAGGGTCCAGGGAGACCAGATATACCGAATTCAGGGTCCAGGGAGAGCAGATATAGTGAATGCAGGGTCCGGGGAGACCAGATATAGTGAATGCAGGGTCCAGGGAGAGCAGATATAGTGAATGCAGGGTCCGGGGAGACCAGATATAGTGAATGCAGGGTCCGGGGAGACCGGATATAGTGAATGCAGGGTCCAGGGTTTAGTAACACCTTAAATAACATTGAATACTTTCTCTAACCTGTGGTCTTTGCAATGTCATTTCAGTGGCATCTGTATATGTTATCTGATAGAACTAGTCCTATCCCACCAGTGTGAGGATTATTATTATTATTATACAGGATTTATATAGCGCCAACAGTTTGCTCAGCACTTTAGAGGATGCTGTGCTAACCTGCAGCTTGCAACATATTTATAAGAAACACAATCTAAGAAATATAATAAAAAAAAGGTCCATCAGTTCATTTATCTGACAGTGTGTTGGCAGACTCAGATAAAATATAATGTATACAATGTATATCTTGAAGGTTTACTGTAAAAAAAAAGTACAAATATATAAATCATTACTGCAGTAACTGTCAAGGAAAAAGACACAGTGATAAAAACAAATGACATCTACTCATGTGGTTAGAATTGTGATTTTTTTAATTATAATTTACTGTACAGAAATACCACAAGGGTCCTATACTTTATATGATCTTCAACCCAATGCAGCAAGGATTGTGTTTTTGTTTGAACATGATTGGATGATTGAATGTCCCTATTCACTTTACTCTACAGAGTAGAAATGATCGACCCCTTTGTAAGTCAATGTACTGTACTAGAGAAACAGTAAAGTACAGTCACTGTGCAAAACGACCAAAAAGAAAACCAAACCTCCATATATAATGAGTAACAACAACCACATCAACAAACTATATTTTATTATTTATTTTATTTCAGGTACTTATATAGTGCTGTTAGTTTACACAGCGCTTTACATATATGTCGTACATTCACATCAGTCCCTGACCCTCAAGGGGCGTACAATCTAAGGTCCCTAACTCACATTCATACATACACATACTAGGGACAATTTAGACAGGAGCCAATTCACCTACCAGCATGTCTTTGGAGTGTGGGAGGAAACCGGAGTACCCAGAGGAAACCCACGCAGGCACAGGGAGAGCATGCAAACTCGAGACAGGTGGTGCCATGGTTTGGATACGAACCAACGACCTGAGTACTGCCAGTTGGAAGTGCTAACCATTTAGCCACTGTGCTGCCCATAAAACATTAACACTCGCTGCGGGAGATTTACTAAAACCGGTGCGCTCAGAATCTGGTGCAGCCGTGCATGGCGGCCAATCAGCTTCTAACTTTAGATTGTTCATTTAAACTTTGACAATAAAATCTGGAAGCTGATTGGCTACAATGCAGAGCTGCACCAGACTTTGCACCTTGCAGTTTTACAAATATCTATCTATTGATTTACTCATTACAAGACAGAAAAGAAGACACATAGACAAAAAGAAAAACATTTTTTGTTGTAGTTTTTATGATAGAATAATGAATCATATCTACATATACAAAGATTTATTTAAAGGGTAACTGGCAAAAACAAAAGAATATTTGGAAATGCAGCCATTCACTAATATGATAATATGGGGTGTTTCTGCTGCCTGTCATTGCCCGGTTTTTATGTTACTGTGTTGTACATAATTTATACATTATGCAGATTATCAGTTTATTTAACCTTTTTGCTCTATAGAAAAAGAAATTCAATTTTTTATAGAGTATAATTGGCTTTATGTAATGTCACTTCCACAGTAACAAAACACAAATATATATATATATATATATATATATATTTATATATATTTACATATATACATACATATATATATATATATGATGTGAATATACAATATATATGTAAAGCACTGCGCAAATTCATGGCGCTATATAAATACTTGTAACAGATAAATAAATAAAAATATAGAAATATATATCTAAAAATGATTTTAAAAAATTATATATACATATATATATATATATATATATACACACATCTATATATCTATATATATATATATATATATATACACACATCTATATATCTATATATATATATATATATATATATATACACACATATATATATATATATATATATATATATATATATATATATAATGTGAATGTAAAATATATATGTGAAGCACTGCATGAATTGATGGCGCTATATAAATACTTGTAACAAATAAATATATAACACATTTTAAATATATATCTAAAAATAAAACACAAATATATATATATATATATATATATATATATATACACATATATATATATATATATATTTACACACACACACACACATTTTACTGTCTTGCCACCTAGGTAACTCAAATTAATCTGGCCACTTTATGTGCCATCGAACAGATTTTTTTTTTTTAGGGGTGAGGGGGGGCAAAGTATATAGCTACATTGGCAGACATTAAAAAGGGGTATTTAATGTAAATAAGCAAATAGAACTGAGGACGTTTTTTCAATTTCTAAATTGTGACAAAGAAAACAATTAGCATGCATCTGCATTGCCTATCTGTAAAAGAAATACATTTTTTTTTTAAAGATTATGTGAATTTTTTAAACTTGTATTTGTTAAATGTTTGAAAGTATAGTATTGGTAAGCCAGAAAACCTAAATAAAAAATTTAATGAATAGTGTGTGAGATTTTATCCATCTATAAAAACTATTTTAATTTTAAGTATTATAAGTTAAAAAAAAACCCACTCACTCTCTTTTTGGACTAATAGCCCATCTTAGTTGTTAAATTTTTTAATATAATATTATATTTTGAAAATTAATACTTTTTTTGATAGAATGATCTTTTTTAAGGGTTATTTAAAAACGTGCTATAATCAAAAGGGGAATGCAATAAAATGAAAGTACTTTTTTACAATTTCAAATCTGTAATTTGAAATTGTAATGCAGAATTGACAAACTAACTACTTTTTTTTTTTTTTTAAATTTAAAAAAGGTTCTAAAAAGACACATTTAACAGTTAATGTGAAATATGGTACATGGTGTGTTTGTTGAAAAGTTTAAAACACAAATAATTATATTATTTAGTCATTTTTCAACACGAGATATATGTTGTATTGCCAACTTTGCAATTTTAACATTGATAAAATAATCTAAATCAATGGTATTCATTTTTGGCTATATTATTTTTTTTATTTTATGTTTATCTATTGACATTAATGAGAACATGGCTAAGTATGAGTTGACCTTAGGGTTGATTTTTTTTCCTGAATTAAAAAAAAAAAACCCCATATAACTGTAATACATTATGAAACAAAATGCGATTACTAATTATGGTGTCCTTTTATGACACAGAGAATAGCTGCGATTCAACTGATCTCAGCTATTCTCTGGTCATTCACAGTTTTATGACACTCAGGAGATCATGTCAGCCCTTCACTGGAGATCTGTGTTCTCCCTCCAGATTCTCCAGCCCAGAGCTGATCTCAACTGATCTCAGCTATTCTCTGGTCATTCACAGTTTATGACATTCAGGAGATCATGTCAGCCCTTCACTGGAGATCTGTGTTCTCCCTCCAGATTCTTCAGCCCAGAGCTGGAGAATCGGAGGGACCGCAAACTAAGCAGAGATAATTTACCTCTGTTTAGTAAACTGATCTTTTACTGTAATCTCGTGAGATTATAGTAAAATCAGCCGTTTTCCAGAGTTTGTAGACCGTTCTCCAGCGTTTGGAGACCGTTCTCCCTTCGTTCGGAGAACTGCTTCATAAACTGCATTCACAGGAGAACTGTGTCCTCCGAGAATGCCGGAGAACTGAGCAGCGATCTATTACCGCTGGTTCATAAAAGGACACCTATATGATAATTTTTTTGTTACATTTTTAAATATGTTTGAGATAATTGCCTCTGAATTTTTTCACTTGTACTGCTTTGACAGTACTTTTGCCATTTTCACGTCCTAATATATTTACCATGACATATTTTCTTTACAAATCCAGACCATATTCCACGGTCTTGTCCAGTAATATTTTAACATAAATGTTTAACCAAACGTTTTTTTTCGGTCTACTATGTTGTACATTTTGCATATTACAAACATATTTTTATTTGCACTCTGCTTAGTCCCCCTGGTATTTATTTATTTGATGGGCTGCATAATTCATACACATTTCATTTGGACGTATGTATATATAACAACGTCTATACAGACATGTACAGCTCAGATATGTTTCCAATTTAAACAGCCCAGAGCTGCAGATTCTCGTTTGACTCTTCAAACACAACTGATAATATTACAAACATTTCTCTATGGGGGGGGGGGGGGGGGGGGGATTGCTATAGAAGTATTTTTTTTACACTTCGATGTTTGTTTCAAACATTCAATTAGGTTCATTTTTTTACATTTCCCTTAAGGTTATTAGATGTTTGAAATGAATTAGAATTTGGTGGGAAGTGTATGGACTTATCTACAGTACAGTATAACTATTCACAGGTAAAAAAAATAAAAAAATTAAAAAAATATTTTTAAAGGATTGCGATTGATATATTGCTCCATATACAGCACTCCACCATCCCTTATATTAACAATGTATGTCATAGGTCCTTACTAGATCCAATGATTATTTGCCCTTTAAAGTCATCAATTCCATGGTTTGGAATTAA